TGGGCACAGGGCTGTCAAGGGACACTGCGCGTCCGGGTCCCGAGGGCTGCCAGCAAATTGGAGTGTGTGCCTTGGTGAAGAGAGGAGTTCAGGAAAAAAGAGGGAAAGGAGGCTTTTCTTTTGCATGTGCCTAAGAAATGCATATTACACTGAGCTAAAGGTAAAATCGGAACAATTCAAGTGCTAAGACACTGCCTGTGTCGCTTTAAATTCTCCTGGCAACATCTAACACCCCTCACTAACACAGAGGGGAATCTAGCCACCTGTCAACCCCAAGACACACTACCGACTGTTCAGGGACATATTCTAGACAGGAAGGAGCCTACCACAATAATTACAGCACAATGGGATAGCCTTAAACAGTACCATACTCAGTGCATTATCTAAGGTCCTTTGTCAGCCCCTCTGAAAGTCAGCAGCTAACTGGGCATGCTTTACTGGCCAGAGAAACTGATGTTTGGCTTTAGGTGATTTGTGGAATCTGAATTCTCATTATTCTAAAGTATTACAGTCCACAATTGAAAACCTCCAAGGAAGGCACACCAAGTGCCAGGAATGACAGAGAAATCTAGGGACGCTAAGAGTGTTTAATTACACACACAGGATTTTTAATGGATTCATTCCACTGGAGGAATGTGCCAGTATTTTTACATTTTTAAATTAAAAATAAAACCTTAAGTAGTGTTATTTGGTGAGCGCTTAAGCACTTAAAACTTGTTTACAGGATAATTAGGATAAGACCAAAGAGTGATGTAAATAAGCAAGTCTCTGCAACAAACATTATCGATGAGATGATCAGAAAAAATGAAAGCATGGGAAACAATCCTATTGTCCTCAGGAAGACAGATTCCAGGAAGATGTCCTGCTCTCCATCACCAGGCCTGTACAAAGAGAGACAGTCCTATTGTCATCAGAAAGACAGGGTTCAAGGAAGATGTTCTGCTCTCCATCTCCATGTCTGTACAAGAGAGAGAACGAGAAAGAGAACCTGCAAGAGTGGGGAGTAAAGAAAGTTGACATCGAGGGGGACATTAAAATAATTTATTATGTATTACATGGCTGAATTATAACTGACAGGGGACATACGGTGTCTACTAAATTTTGATGGCATGTCTATTAAGAGCATAAGGAATTGTTTGCTCGACCCCAGGACAAATTAGGAGAAGTAGATACATCTAAGAATTGACAAAAATCTGAAAATTGAGAAATCCTTCATAATAGGGAGGCCCAGTTAACACAGAACTAAAATCCCAGAGGGAAACGGTAAACTGTATCCATTGAGATTATTTCAGACAGTAAGGGATGGGGGATAAGGGGAGGTGTCAAGCAGTGCTCAGGCGGTGGAGGGCCTCTCCCAGAGATACTCAGCCAATCAGGCCTCAATGCTCAGGCCCAGGTGTGTTGGGGACCACCAGGGCTATCCCCAGCAGAGCTGAGAGCCATGAGGTTCTGGGGATGGAACACGTGGTCCCTGAATTATCTTTCCAGCTTTCAATTGAGATTCTTAAATGACAATATTCAGAATTCTTTAAGGTCAGTCAAGTCCTGATATGCTCCAGAAGGGGCATCCATGCCTGAAGTACAAAATCCTAGTTATGCATCAGAATGAAGATCAGGGCTGGTAGCACGGGAGCTAAGGCATAGGTTTGACATTCGTCTGACTTGATCACAGGCACCACATGACCTTACAAGCATAGCCAGTTGTGGCTTCCCTAGAGGTTTCTGGCACCACTGGAGGCCATGGTGGCAACATCTTCTCAGTCCAGCCCTGTCTAGAGGCTTCCTCAACCTCCCACGCCTGAAAAGCAGAATAAAGACTGGGAATCCCTAAGGTCCTCATGTAAAGTCTGAATCAGTAAGTTTAGTTGGTGTTTGAATCTGTAGCACCATAGCACTGTCCTCCCATTGTTCATGGATTTGCTTGAGCGGGCACTAGTAACGTCTCCATTGTGAGACTTGTTACTGTTTTTGGCATACCGAATACGACATGGGTAGCTTGCCAGGCTCTGCCGTGCAGGCAGGATACTCTTAATAGCTTGCCAGGCTCTCTGAGAGGGACAGAAGAATAGAATCCGGGTCAGCCACGTGCAAGGCAAATACCCTACCTACTGTGCTATCTATCATTCCTATACATTTTAAAATTATTCCTGCAATTCCAGCAAGGATAAAGTAACTGGCATCACACTTACCAATCTACTAGAACCAACTATAAAATAAAGCTGGACATATTTTCAGGCATTTTTTCAACATACCAAAAAAGGAAAAGAACTGGTGAGCTCCATTTTCACCTCAGCTTTCTGCCTGGGAGTCCTGGGGTGTGTGGGGCCAGTCAGGGAGGGGGAGGAGGGCTGGGGATCAAACATGGGGGTTCACATAAACAAAGCTAGTACTCTACCACTGAGCCAAATCTGTAGCCCCTAAGGGACACCTTTTAAAGGTGCAGAGGAAAATGGAGCCCCGGGGGCTTTATTTAAAGGTGTTAAAACAATTCAGTGGTATGGTTCATGTAAAACCATTAGCAGAATGACTAATACATCCCAAGACTTCATACTACAATTATTACAAACTTATCTGCAAAATAATGATTTTCCCAGAAGAACAATTTCATCTTAACAGATATCAGAGAAACTAATGTTAAAGGGACAAAAATAAAAATTGGATTTTTGTTAACTATAGAACTATAATTCATGTTTTTTTCCTTTGTGTTTTGATTTTTTTTAAATTTTCTTACCCCCCCTCCCCCCAACTTCCCTTCTTCTTGGCATCATCATTCTGATGTCTGGGAATACCCACATGAGAGTGGCTCCAGTGTTCATGAACTTAGCTGTGCTCACCAGAGACAGCACATCTGGCTGAAGTGCTCACACACCCAGTCACAGTGCTCACTGGAGGTTGCACTCCTACTGTTGAGGTTCTTGCAAATGTACTTACCCGGGCCATACTTATTAGCTGTGGCCACTCATGCACACTCTGGTTGCGTGCTCACCAGGATTCTTGTAATGCTCAAACATGTGCTCACCAGAGTCATATTTTCTAACTGACGGGTTCTCTGATCACTTACTTGTTGTGTTCATGGGGGGGGCAGCAGGTCGTCAGTTTTTTGTTATGGTGCTTGCTTATACCTGGCTGCAGTGTAGTCAGAAATCTCTTGAGGTGCCAGTGTTCTCAAACAGTAGAGTTGCCAACCAATCAAATATGGCAATAATGGGGACTGAACTCAAGGCCTCACATGTGGGCAGACTTGTCAATCCACTAAGCTATGCCTTGGACTCCGAACTAAGGAATCCACTTTGTTCTCATTGATGTAGTCCTGTATATATGAGGAATTTTTGATTTCTAGTTAGAATTTGAGGTGGCAGAAGCAGTTAGAATATGTGTAGTAGAAACCTGAGAGAAGGTAATGGCACTGAGTAGCCTTTCGAAATTTCAGAAAATTGGGAGACATTAAACTTCGAAGCAACCAGAGTGAAAAGAAGTCAGGCATTCAGTGAAGATCTCAAAGGCCTTGGTTGAAAGGTTACTCTTGAGCCTGAAGCAACTCTCAATGGAATTAAGTTGATTTGGCACTAAATCGGGTGCCTGGTAATGCAAACTCTAGTTTCCTTTATAAAAGATAGAAAATCCCTATTTTCAATAACTCACAATGTCTAAGATACAATACAATTATTAAAAATAAGAAAAATGTGACCCATGCACAAAAGAAAACCCATCAATATTAACAGACCCAGGGATAATGTACATGCTTATTGGGATTATAAGAGAATTTCTTTCATATAACTGTTATAAATATGTTTACTACTTTAATAAAAAGATGGACATCTGAGTACATAGATAGGGGCTCTCTGAAAGAAATAGAAACTACTTTATAAGAACCAAAAGAATATTCTAGAATTAGTACAATATATGGAACTTTTTAATTTATTGGGTTAGCTTAAAAATGCATTAAAGACTACAGAAAAGGTGATCAGCACACTTAATTCAGGCAAATAAAACTTTAAATACTAGGAGAAAAAGACTTGAAAAAAATCTCTGACCTAATAAACAATAGCAAATGGGTTAATATATGCATGATTAGTATAACAAAACAAATGGAGGAAAAGGCTTTTTATTAAAAGCAAGTAAATCTAACTAGAAACTTTAAATTCTATCGAAGTTAAAAGTACTCTTTAAAAATGAAACAAAAAGAATGTTAAGACTTGCATGACCACAGAGAAGGAAGTTCTTCAGACTGAAAGAAAAGATAGCAAGACTCAGTCCTACTTTAAAAGGGAAACGTGCTGAAAACAGTAACTTAAGTGGTAACCCAAGGTATTTTTCTACCCCCACCCCACCATCATTTATTCCTTTAGTGGGGTTGGAGAGGTGATACTCAAAACACACTCCTGATTCTGTGCTCAGGGATCACTCTTGGCAGAAGACCTACATTTTTAAAAATAAAAATCTTAACATTGACTTTTAGAGTGTAGAAGATACAGAGGAAAGTATATTACAACTCAGCAAATGGAAGAAGACTGAAAGTTTCTTTGAGCTGTGATACAGTAAAATAGGAATTCAAGGCAAGCTCTGAAAAATTAGCAATACACACTTAAATAGAAAAACATAGTTAAAAATCAAAATGACTAGCAAAGCAATAGTGAATACAAATGTAATATCAAGTATACTACAATATAATCAAGTCATTTTTTTAAATTCATGGGAGAAAAATACAAAATAAGAAATGATATGAGTAAAAAGCAAACAGCAACATAGTAAATTTAATAACAAGCAACTGTATAGTAAATTGAATAGTAAAAAAATTTTTATAATAGAAAAAAATTGCAAATCTGACCACATTAAATAATCACATTACATCTAAATGGACTAAACCCTGAAATGAGAAAACAAAGATTATCAGAGTACATGAAAAAGGTACTATTTTAAAAGTCATTTTAGAAAATAGAAAGATACATTTCGGTTAAACATAGGAGGAAAGAAAGCATACGTCTAAGCATATTTTTTTAATTGTCATCTATTGCCTTTCAGAACCAGCCCTATGCTCAGGATGGCTTTCCTAAGTGGAGAGGGAGATTTCTGTGTGATCTGTCGAGACCTACTGTTAGAGCTACACATAGAAGACAGAAAAAGCATAGACCCGGAAAAGGAAAGAAGAGATTCTATAAACTCTAGTCATATAAAAGCTAGAGTATACCCAAGTGTATCAGGATAGTAGAGAGAAAGAGTGATACTTCATAAAGATAATAGGGTCAATTTGACCAAAAAAATCCTACTTTACGTATGTATACAAATAAAGTTTCAAAAATCTTGAGCCAAAAACTGCTTTAAAAAATGAAAGATAAATGGAAAAGCTCTTAGTAATAACTGGAAATTTTAACTAACCACAAAATAGTGGAAAGATATCAGGGAAGATTTGAAGAACTCTATAGAAGCCTCTCCATTCTAGGACCCATGTTTGAAGTCTACTCATTTACACCATCCCCTTAGCTTTTAGCAGTCACAAACAAGCAAATAAATAAACAAAAATATTTCAGCAGGCAAAGAGAAACCATCTCAGCCAGATGATTCACTTATTTTTTTAATTAGGATGATAAATTAAGAAACTCTTCAATTTCTATATTGTTGTATAAGGATATTTTTCTTTTTTAAAATCTGAAACAACATGATGCTATTTAAACCTACATTCTCCCTGTAGGTTTTATTGGTTTTTTCTTGTTTGTTTTAGTCTTGGGTCACACCCAGAAGTGCTCAGGACTTAATCCTGGAGGACTTGGGGAAATGACATAGAGTGCTGGGGATCAAATCTGGGTTGACTACATTTAAGGTAAACCCCCTGCCCTCTATACTATTGTTTTAGCCTTCCCCTTGAGGTTTACATAAAATAGATTTTTAGAAATAAAGAGGTCTTAATAATCGCATTATTCAGATGTTCCATTTTAGAAAAAAGACTATGCTGATACTTTCTGGCCCAGTTTAATTGTCACGTTCCTATTTAATGAAAGAAATCGGACCAAAAAATATGAGAAAGAACCCCATAAACTAGAGTGCATGCTTTGCATCAGGAGACTGGGGTTCCACTCCTGGCATGGTCCCCTGAGCACTATCAGAAATGACTCCCTGATTACTATCTTGAGTGATCCTAAAGCACTGGTCCAAGAGTAGCCCCTGAGCACCCCATGTGAAGCCAAAAACAAACAAACAAACAAAAAAATAAAACCCAAACCAAAAAACCCAAATCATTGCCTCATAAAGAATAACTTGACTTAGATCATGCAGCCAATAAGTGATATGGGTTTTAATCTACACAGTGTCATTCTAAAACCCACTGCCTCATGAAAGACTTAGTTAATATTTACTGAACTAGAGTAATGACTGGAAGAAATAAAATAATTCTTGTTCCAATGATGTGACTTCTTGACATAGATAATTGTTAAGAAGGCAAAAATATAACCCTTCTAAACCTTAATACCTTCCACTCTACCACATTGTTTAACATTTTCCACTTGAAAAATGAAACACAGTTGAGTACTACCAGAAACACTTGGACTCACTTATGTGGTTGACTTTGAATTAATTTTTGGTCATTGCTAATTTATAAACATTTTTTTGCTTTTTGGGTCACGTCCAGAAATGCCCAGGGGTTACTCCTGGCTCTGTACTCAGGAATTACTCCTGACGTTGCTCAGGGGACCATATGGGATGCTGGGAATCAAACCCAGGTCGGCCACGTGCAAGGCAAATGCCCTACCCGCTGTGCTATTGCTCCAGCCCCTAATTCATAAACATTTTACTATTGCTACTTTTTTCACAATCCTTACATTCAGACCCATAGAGGGTCATAACCCACAGTTATAGAAGCTAGAGTATAAGAAAAGGAAAAGGAAAATAAAGCAACTCATTTTTTTATGCTCTACATTGGCTCTATTATATTCTACATTCAAGATGCTTCTTATAAAAAAACTTTTTATTGAATATACATGATTTACTAACTTACTGATAGTTGCATTTTAGATAAACAATAATTCAACACCAATCCCTTCACCAGTGTCAAATTCTCTACCTATACCCAGACCCACTCCACCCCTGCCTGCTTAGATTTTATGTTTTCAGTTCTGTTGAATCTATGTTTTTGGGTATATGGCCATAGCCCTCATTTGTATCACTGGTATAACTGTTAACTCTGATACCTGTTAATCCATAACTTCTTGTTCTCTTCTTCCCTCTTTATTTCTTTCCTTCTCTATCTGTCTCCTTTCTACACACTGGAGTCAAGGATGATCTAAGCAGGCCCCTTTTACTACAATAAATTTCCTCATAAAGTATTCTATATTCCACAGATAAATGAATCATTCTGTGTTTGTCATTCTTCTGATTTACTTCATTCAATAGGGTATCTTTCAGTTCAAACCATGTTGCAGCAAATTGCGTGGTTATAATCTTCCCTTGCAGCTATATAGTGTTCCATTGTGTATGTATGACACATCTTCATAATTAATTCATCTGTCATTGGACATCTATATAGATTCCATATCTTAGCTATTGTATCAAGTGCAGCAATGTATAATGGTGTGCATACATCCATTTGAATGAATGTTTTTAAGTCCTGGGGGGTAGATGCCCCAAAGTTGTATTGCTAGGTCATTTGGCTATTCAATTAATTCTAGTTTCACTGAGAACTCTCCATACTGTTTTCCACAAGAGTTGTATAAGACAACATTCCCACTAGCAGTGCTTATGAGTTTCTTTTTCACCACATCCCTGTCAACAGAGATTGTTCTTACTATTTTTGATATATGCCATTCTGACAAGTGTGAGATGTATCTCATAATTGTCTTGATTTTGATTTCTCTGATGATAAGTGATGCTGAGCATTTTTTCATGTGCCTACTGGCCATCTGCCTGTCTTCTTCTGAGAAGTGTCTATTCATTTCCTCTCCCTTTTTGTTGATAGGGTTTTTGAATTTCTTTTCTGTTGATATTTATGAGTACCTTATATACCTGCATATCAAATCTTTATCTTATGTGTGGAATGCAAATATTTTTTCCATTCAGTTAACTGTCTTTTAGTTTTAGCATGTTTTTAAAGGTTATTTATTTTAGTCAAATTTATTTTGATCTAATATCCACTTTTTCAGTCTAATTGCACACCACAGAAGTTATTATTGCTTTAAGTCAGGTAAATCTACTGGGAAGCACAAGAAAGTACATAATCTCCCAATTTTGTGCTTCAATCTCATTGCAACTAAAATCAACCAGTAATGAAGGGAGATATACTTGACAAAGAATACTTGCTGTGACTTTTCAAGGGCAATAAAATACAACCTGTGACTAAATATTCTGAACTGTTTATAGATACAACAGTTTTATTATTCTTTAATGACTGCCTTCACTTTGTCAAATATCAACACTCAGTCACTAGTATTGCAGCCTAATCCACAGTTTTCCAGGAATTTTTCGATTATTAAATACTGATTTCAGGATGTTTCAACATTGTTATTTCCTCAACAATTTAATATTTCCTTTCCCCTTTGTTAAGCTAGGGACCACTGGGCTTTATCCCAAGGGGAGAGTTACACAGTATTTTTCCCAAGAAGAGTTGGAGTAGTAGGTAGGCATAGTGTCTTATCTGGAGCACCTCAACCCTTCCCCTACCCCTTTACTTCTAGGAAGCTAGTCCCTCAGTGTGCTCAATCAGGGAGGAAGGAGAAAGAGGATTGTAGTAATATTGTCCCATACAATTGACTGACTTCTGGAGCGATCTTACTTAAAATTCTCTCTGTGCAATGTTCCCTGGTATCTAGATCTTGTTCACAGGTTTTCTTGGGACAACTCTTTGTGTACTTAGGACCTGGTTATAGAAGGATCAGTCACATTTCTTCTTGACTCCTATAACCTTTCAGTATAGTTAAATTCCTTTCAAAGAAGGAGGGTGGAGCCAATTCTTTGTAGTTTCTTAAACACCCTGTGGTCAATGTCTTCTTTTAAATCCACACGGTTCATTACTTGGTGTCTGAGACCAATGAGGGTTATTTTTTTTGTTGTTTTCAGGAAATTAGCACGTAGAGGGTGTACTCATCTTCTTTCAATCCTCTTCCTGAAATATATCACATTAAGCTTCTTACCTTTGGAGAATAAAGACCCAAAGTGGGCACTAATCAGTAGGGTCATGGGTGCCTCCCAACTTTGAGAGTTTCTCAATCTACTTTCTACTCTCAGTGGAAAAGCACCAAGAGAAACTGCAGTACACAGCCAGAGGCCTGAATAGCCATTTCTTATATGCATATCCAGCCATTACAAGAAATTCTCATGACCCTTTCCTCATATGGTTATGAGGTAGAGAAAGTAAGCGTTTCATTTTCGTCCTTATCCAGGAAAAGAAAGACAAAACCTCTCCACCATCTATACAGTCTTCCAATTGACCACCATCATGTCACCTCACCCCACTCATTTGCTCTTACAAATTTGTGGAAAGAAATGGGAGCATTGTAGTGATTATGAATGTAGTAGGAGAAAGCGTGGCAATGTTTTAAGAATCCCAGAGAAGCCATGCAGACACAATTGTCACTAAATTGTGTGTCTCCCAAATTTATGTGTTGAAGTCTTAACTCTTCAAACCTGAAAATGGTGTTGTAACTGAAGGGAGGGGAGGTCTTTGAAGAGGTAGTTAACATTAAATGAGATCATCAGGGAAAGGATTAATACAAGCTGACTGATATCTTAATAAGGAGGGAACATCAAAACCCAGATGTAGAAGGAAACATCATGAAAGGACACAGAAAAGAAGCTGACTATAAATCAAGTAGAGAGCCCTCCAACACCCCCCCACACACAAAAATACCACTCAATCTGGGTCTGTGAAACAGTGCATGGGTTTGAGTGCCTGTTTTGCATAAACTGAATGTGCTCCTGGCAGCTTTGTTATTTAGGCCTGGATGGTTTCTATGGCTCCCCTCATCACAAATGATATCTGGCCACACAGTAGCTTTTTGTGTATGCATTACACAAAGGATTGCAACTCCTGTCAAGCAAAGCAGCTAAAAAGATGTGTGATCAGAACTGTGAGTCCTGGTGAGCATGGTCATGGAGCACACAGCAGTCCTCAGAGAACACCACACCATAAATTTGCATCCCTCAATTTAGAGTGC